GTGCTGCAGGTAGTGATCGAGGGAGTGCTGCCGGGGTAAAGAGAACCCGTCAGAGCGTACTCCTGTTGTCTCGAAGATCTTGCGATAGTCGTGGAAGCGGCCCAGCGCATCCGACACCTCTCGTAGTGTGCGCTCTGTGAGAGTAGAGCGTCGGACTAGATAGCAGAACTCAAGGAATGCTGAGGATGTTCGCACTATGTCAGCGGGTACCAGACCTGCGATGGCAGGCAGATAAACCTGAGGACAGTCTTTGTCAGATAAGCGCAAATGCCAGGTGACAGGTATCCGTACCTTCATCAGGGCTTTTGAGTCATCACCCGTCCATTGTTTGAAGTCACGACCCTCGGGAAAGCGCCTCAGTCCCGAGAAGGGCGGCACAGCAGCTATGCTATACGATTTGATAAGCAGACTGTTCTCATGATATTTGAGCTTGCACACGTACCGGCGGTCGATCTCGTCAAGAATCTTCTTGGCCTCACTCTCTGTTGACTTTTGGGTATGTCGGGCAAGCGTCGCCGGCCCGGGTCACGTGGTCGTGCGCCGGTGTGGGAATAGGACTTATGTAGGCGTCGCGCGCCGTAGGTAGCCCCATCGGTTTGTAACCTAATCACCCATTGATCCCTGTCCATCGAGGACGTTGTCTGCCGGCGGTCTTTCCGGCGTCGTTCTCACACTCTCTCCATGCTCGAGCACCAAATATTCATGCACCCACGTCACCAGATGGTCATAGAAAGTTCCCTCGATAATTTGATGCAAAAGGTCGGGGGTCATGAGCTGATTGATATTGGCGCGCGGGAAATCATTGGTGAATGGCTATAAACACATTCTCCATGAATCAGCACACGTACAACATCATGAACACGAGCAAGACTTACAATGATGTCACCCACAATCCCGTAATCCTCCCACAGGGTGACCAAGTCCAGCGCGGCAACTAATGCTTGTGTGTGCTCACGTGTGCACAGACCATGGGTTCCACCATTTCCAAGAGCAGACCTGTGCGCAGAGCAGCTATGGAATGTGGTTTGACATCAACCTCTGCTAATATGAGACAATCAGAGTACTCACGTCACGCACCAGCCCTGAACAATGCACCCAGCGAGTTTTTGTTCCGAAAAATCTGCAATATACGGACCTAGACCGTATATCACCCGCCTGAAATGTCCGTCAGGGCAGCGCGTGACTTCCGGAACTGACATGGCAGCACGTAACGGGCTCAATATAGTAGAGAGACTTGCGTGGAAGAGTTGATGACAAAGTTTGCGGAAGTGGGCACTGTTTCCGTACTGCCGTTCACCTGTGAGAGTGGCTATATGAGTACCTAACTACAAGAAGTGCTGAAGGTCCTAACTTACTTTTAGGGATGGCTAGAAAGCCAATCACAGCAATTGCGTTATGGTGTGCACGCCGCACATTGTTGAACACATTACCGATGGACATGTATAGCGGCCAGTACTCGTTATGGCCAGTTGCAACAGAAACTGTTGTTTTGTCACTCCCAAGAATGAGAGGGACAAACATCGCGCCGTGTGTTGTCGGATCTTGCGCAATGAGATCCTAGACAGTGGGATATGTAAGTATCTAAATGTGATGAACTCGGGCAACATGTACTGACCGCTTGCTTCCATGCCCAGTTGGCAGACATCAGATTCAAAAAGTGTCGCTCATTGTCGACAAACTCCCAGTAGGGGCTATTTTTAACGAGGTATGAGCGATGTCGGATCTAACAACGTTCGGTCAGAGCTTCAGTGAGTGGAATATCAACTGTATTACTGTACCTAACGATGTTCGGTCACTTTACAGGAGATCAGTATATGTACAGTACTTAGAGGTAGAAAAGGACTTACAAGCTTCAGTGAGTGGAACATTGACTGAAGCTCGCATCGTGAACATGACAGGTATATAGTGTGCCGTAGTAGGGTGAGTCACCTGTATCTATGGTGCGCGGGCTAAACGAAGAGGACGGGGTATTTACAGACAGGAACAGAGGCGCCAGGGGTGCGACAACATCACACTGATTCCGACGCGATAATGCAACGTCATGTGCGCCCATATCCACGCGGGGCGTACGGACGCGCTTGTCCGTCAACACTCCCCCTCAAGCTGGACGAAGCCCCATCAGGCCAGCGAGGATGTCACGAGTTGACACGGCGTCTAGCCGTTTTTTAATTTTTTCCTTTTCGTGGGCTCGAACCCGCGACCTCTGTACCACCTGCCCGATATGGACACATCGTTATCTACTGTACGATTAGATTAGATGGGGCAGCAGTGCACGGCACAGCTCGGGCTCCGCTGCCACAGCCGCTCTGACTCACCGGCCCCCAGGACCGTGTCAGCATGCTGCGCATGGACTAGCTGCGCACGGACCAACACGCACAGCCTGCCCTTATCTCCCCATGTATATAAGCCGGCCTCTGCTACCCTAGGGACCTCAGTTTCGACCTCTTGTCCCTAGGTCAGTAAGCTCATGTACTTACTTACCTTTTCAATGCTAACTTACTTGTCCCTAGCCTTAGGTTTGAGCCTTGCTCACCATCGCTTCGGTGAGAACCAGTCGAACGCCCCTCGCTTTCAGATATTCCCCTGTTGCTTGACCTCAAGTCGCAACATTAGGTCGAAACTCCCACAGCGACCGGCATTCTCTTGGAACCCACACACTCACCTTCCCTTTCCCACAGGTCAGGTGGTGCGCACCCTACTATACCCTACAATACCTAGATAGCGTACGTACATCGCCAACACTAAGGGAACGAACTCTTCAGTACCTGCACTTCAGTGGGTGGTACTTGTCCTCACGGATGCGTGGACTAGGTTCCTGCTGCATAATAGTCAAAAGCAGTACTGGGCCCCACATGAACTGTGAACCCTAGTGTCTTCTCAGGCGCCATAGCGTAAGCTAATATAGCACAGCCATTGTAGTACGCGCTGATAGGCGCCAAGCCCCTATGGGCCCCGATACACCTCTTTTCGGCAGTCGCATCCCGCCTGGCACTTTGACTCAGTCTCCCAACACCTCGATTTTGCCTTCGACGCTCTTCAACACCTTCGACGGTGCGCGACACTTACTCGAAGCTCGGCACAGTCATCCCGATACCTCGCGCATAGATCCCGGGACATCTTCCACATTCGGCGAACAATAGGGCCACTTGACGCCGCTCAGCCAAGCGTACGCATCGCTCCAAGCCACACTGACATAGCCGGTCTTTCCCGATTAGGTATCGAACCTCGCAACATGCCTTCAACGACGGACACCGGTCCGAAGTGTCTCGCATGTTTCTCTTCATCTCCGCGTTCGGCATGACGTCACTCTACCAATGGACTTGATATGTGCCCCTCGGTGAGGCAGCTTCTTGAGGAACAATGCAAAGCCCCTTGTACCAGTGTGCCACTTTCGATAGTCGTAGCGTCCTGTGTAGTATAAAATCTGTCGTACTTCTCTCTAAAAAAAACAAGATCCGGTTCCCCCCTTGAGTTCAGAGCTCATATGTCGAGTTTGCCCCACGTCTAAGCCTTCAACTGCGTCACTTCGTCCCTCGCTGCGTAACCTCGAAACCTCGTCCACTGTGTTTACTCATCGATACCGTCTCGACGAACCCTTCGACTTCGACTATTGTCGAAGAAACTGCGAACCACGCCCTAGCTAAGTCCACCCTATCAAGTCGTGTCCCTTCTTTCTACGATACATCAAAGAGCTCTGCCAAGCTTCGATTGTCTCCGCTAACCACCCACAGCCTCCGGGTAGCTTTGACGACGTGTCGAAGCCACCTCGTACCTTCCCCATTGTTGATAGCCTTTTCCAAGGGCGTTTCTCGTGTTCACTCAAACCGCGGGACACCTTGCTGCTAACTCCCCTCTCACTAGACTATAATCTGTCTCTCTAGTCCCTTTAGGTCGCACCCAGGTTAGGGGTTAGGGTTTCGTAGGTCGTATCATTTCTGGAGCCCACCACGAGGGGATCTCAGGCAAGAATTCGCCGCTTTCGGGTTTCCGAAAACGTCTCCAGTAGTCACCCGCTTGCAAGCGCGTGAGGCTGCTAGCCGCAGTGCCGCCGAGAACCTCGACAGCTCCTCTAGAACGCAATCGACTCCCTCTCCAACAATTCCCGGTGACTTCAACCACGACAAAGAAGACAAGATAGACCAAGAACTCCAGGACAACTTCGACAAAGAACCAATTCCTTCGGCCGCCGAAGAACGCACTTTGTCCCCCGAGCTTCTAGGCCTCACTACTACCGACTACGACACTTCGACTCCTGATCTTTTCGAACGATCCGGTTCTTCACCTGAACCCGAGGATCCCATCCCATCTACTTCGAATCTCGAACTCCCGACTCCGTCTTCTTTTCGCGCCCACGCTCAGCCGCCCATCGCATCCTCTTCGCAACTTTCAGTCATACCTTCATCCAACCTGGCACCTCCGCCACCATTAGCACCTTCGAACGCAGCTTCGAACTCC